GGATTTCCAGTTTTCCCAGCACCATTTGTTAAAGATGCTATCCTTCCTCCATTGCATGCTTTTAGCCCCTTTATCAAATATAAGGTAGTTGTAGTTTTGTGGATTGGTTTCTGTGTCCTCTATTCTGTACCATTGGTCCACCCGCCTGTTTTGGTACCAGTACCATGCTGTTTTTGTTACTATTGCTCTGTAGTATAGTTTGAGGTCTGGTATCGCTATACCGCCTGATTCACACTTCCTGCTTAGCATTGTTTTTGCTATTCTGGGTCGTTTATTTTTCCATATGAATTTCATGATTGCTTTCTCTATTTCTACAAGAAATGCCATTGGGATTTTGATTGGCATTTCATTAAACCTATAGAGAACTTTTGGTAATATCGCCATTTTGATGATGTTAGTTCTGCCTATCCATGAACAGGGTATATTTTTCCATCTTCTAAGATCTTCTTCTATTTCTCTCTTTAGGGTTCTGTAGTTTTCATTGTATAAGTCTTTCACCTCTTTTGTTAGCTTGATTCCCAAGTATTTTATTTTTTTTTGAAGATATTGTGAATGGAGTGGTTGTCCTCATTTCCATTTCAGAGGATTTGTCACTGATATACAGGAATGCCTTTGATTTATGCGTGTTGATTTTATATCCTGCCACTTTGCTGAATTCATTTATTAGCTCTAATAATTTCTTTGTAGACCCTTTTGGGTCTGCTAGGTATAGAATCATGTCATCTGCAAATAGTGATAATTTAAGTTCTTCTTTTCCTATTTTGATGCCTTTAATTTCTTTCGTCTGTCTAATTGCTCTGGCCAGTGTTTCGAGAACTATGTTGAACAGAAGTGGTGAGAGAGGGCATCCCTGTCTTGTTCCAGATTTTAGAGGGAATGCCTTCAGTTTTTCTCCATTCAGAATGATGCTAGCCTGAGGCTTAGCATAGATTGCTTTTACAATATTGAGGTATGTTCCTGTTATCCCTAGTTTTTCTAGAGTTTTGAACATAAAGGGATGCTGTACTTTGTCGAATGCTTTTTCCGCATCTATCAAGATGATCATATGGTTCTTATTTTTAAGTCTATTGATGTGGTGAATAACATTTATTGATTTCCGTATATTGAACCAGCCTTGCATCCCAGGGATGAATCCTACTTGATCATGGTGCACAATTTTTTTGATATGTTTTTGTATCCGATTCGCCAGAATTTTATTGAGGATTTTTGCATCTAGGTTCATTAGAGATATTGGTCTGTAGTTTTCTTTCTTTGAAGTGTCTTTGTCTGGTTTCGGTATCAGGGTGATGTTGGCCTCGTAGAATGAATTTGGAAGTTCTCCCTCTTTTTCTATTTCCTGAAGTAGCTTGAAAAGTATTGGTATTAGTTCCTCTTTAAAGGTTTTGTAAAACTCTGCTGTATACCCATCCGGTCCTGGGCTTTTCTTAGTTGGTAGTCTTTTGATGGTTTCTTCTATTTCCTCAATTGATATTGGTCTGTTTAGGTTGTCTATGTCCTCCTGACTCAATCTGGGCAGATCATATGACTTAAGAAATTTATCGATGCCTTCACTATCTTCTAATTTATTGGAGTATAAGGATTCAAAATAATTTTTGATTATCTTCTGTATTTCTGAAGTGTCTGTTGTGATATTGCCTTTTTCATCCCGTATGCTAGTAATTTGAGTTCTCTCTCTTCTTCTCTTCGCCAGCATGGCTAAGGGTCTGTCGATTTTGTTTATTTTTTCAAAGAACCAACTTTTAGTTTTGTCAATTTTTTCAATTGTTTCTTTTGTTTCGATTTCATTAATTTCAGCTCTGATTTTAATTATTTCTTGCCTTCTACTTCTTTTGCTGTTGTTTTGCTCTTCTTTTTCTAGGATTTTGAGATGAAGTATGAGATCATTTATTTGTTGGTTTTTTCTTTTTTTAAGGAATGAACGCCAAGCAATGAATTTTCCTCTTAGAACTGCTTTCAATGTGTCCCATAGATTCCGATATGTTGTGTCTGTGTTTTCATTAATCTCTAAGAATTTTTTAATTTCCTCCTTGATGTCTTCTATGACCCATTGATCATTCAGTAACCTATTGTTCATTCTCCAAGTGATGTATTCTTTTTCCTTCCTTCTTTTATCGTTGATTTTCAGTTCCATTCCATTATGATCAGATAGGATGCATGGTATTATCTCTACTCCTTTATATTGTCTAAGAGTTTCCCTGTGACATAATATATGATCTATTTTTGAGAAGGATCCATGTGCTGCTGAGAAAAAAGTGTAACTGCTTGATGTTGGGTGGTATATTCTATATATGTCAATTAAGTCTAGGTTATTAATTGTGTTATTGAGTTCTATAGTTTCCTTATTCAACTTTTGTTTGGAAGATCTGTCCAGTGGCGAGATAGGTGTGTTGAAGTCTCCCATGATTATTGTATGGTGGTCTATTAGACTCTTGAACTTGAGAAGAGTTTGTTTGATGAACATAGCTGCACCATTGTTTGGGGCATATATATTTATGATTGTTATGTCTTGTTGGTGTATGGTTCCCTTAAGCAGTATGTAGTGTCCCTCTTTATCCCTTTTGATTAACTTTGGCTTGAAATCTATTTTATTTGATATGAGTATGGACACGCCTGCTTGTTTCCGAAGTCCATATGAGTGATATGATTTTTCCCAACCTTTCACCTTCAGCCTATGTATGTCTTTTCCTATCAAATGCGTCTCCTGTAGGCAGCATATTGTTGGGTCTTGTTTTGTGATCCATTCTACTAGCCTGTGTCTCTTGATTGGTGAGTTTAAGCCATTAACATTTAGGGTTATTATTGAGATATGGGTTGTTCTTCCAGCCATATTTGTTTATTTCTGTTACTAAACATGGTTTGTTTTCCTCTTTGATTATTTCCCCCCCCCTTTACTGTCCTACCTCCCACTGTTGGTTTTCATTGTTATTTTCCATTTCCTCTTGCTGTAATGTTTTGCCAAGGATGTTTTGAAGAGATGGTTTTCTAGCTGCAAATTCTTTTAACTTTTGTTTATCGTGGAAGGTTTTAATTTCATCTTCCATCCTGAAGCTTAATTTCGCTGGAAACACAATTCTTGGTTGGAACCCATTTTCTTTCAGTGTTTGAAATATGTTATTCCAGGATCTTCTAGCTTTCAGAGTCTGTGTTGAAAGATCAACTGTTATCCTGATTGGCTTACCCCTAAATGTGATCTGCTTCCTTACTCTTGTAGCTTTTAAAATTCTCTCCTTATTCTGTATGTTGGGCATCTTCATTATAATGTGTCTAGGTGTGGGTCTCTTATGATTTTGCACATTCGGCGTCCTGTAGGATTCTAGGATTTGGGATTCTGTCTCATTCTTCAAGTCTGGGAAGTTTTCTCGTATTATTTCATTGAATAGATTGCTCATTCCTTTGGTTTGAAACTCTGTCCCTTCCTGTATCCCAATGACTCTTAAATTTGGTCTCTTGATGTTATCCCATATTTCTTGGATGTTCTGCTCATGGTTTCTTAACAGTCTTGCTGAGCTGTCTATGTTCTTTTCAAGTTGAAATACTTTATCTTCATTGTCTGATGTTCTATCTTCTAAGTGTTCTACTCTGCTGGTAGTATTCTCAATTGAGTTTTTAAGTTGGTTTATTGCTTCCTGCATTTCTAGGATTTCTGTTTGTTTTTTTTTATAACCTCTATCTCCCTGTATAGTTGGTCTTTTGCTTCTTGGATTTGTTTATGTAATTCATTGTTGAAGTGATCTTTCATTGTCTGATTTTGCTGTCTGATGTCTTCCTTGAGACTCCAGATCATCTGAAGCATGTATATCCTGAATTCTTTATCTGACATTCCATCTGCTGCAGCTATTACCTCTTCTAACGTTGAGTTGACCTGCATTGCTTGTGGTCCTTTCTTTCCTTGTCTCTTCATACTGTTCACGTTCCTTTCTACTTGGTGAAACTGTTGTGCTATTGAATTTTCCCCCTATATATTTATATTGGTCTTGTATAGTTGCAAAGTCTCCCTTGCAGGCGTGGGCGGCGGCTCTGCCCCTCCTCCAATTGGGGCAATGTGCCTACCATGCCGGCAGGCCGCTGGGCCTGCTCTGCTTGTCGGTAGCAGGTCCGCCTACCTTGCAGGCGTGGGCGGCGGCTCTGTCCCTCTGCGGGCCGCTAGGCTTGTTCTGTCAGTGGTCGCAGTTCTGCCTACTTTGCAGGCGCAGGCAGCGGCACTGCCCCTCTGCAAGCCTCTGGGGCTGTTCTGCCAGTGGGTCGCAGGTCCGCCTACCTTGCAGGCTCGAGGGGGGTGGCGGCTCTACCCTTCCTCAGGCCACTGGGCCTGTTCTGTCTGTCGGTTGCAGGTCTGGCCTGTTCTGATGGTGGTCACAGTTCCGTCTACCTTGCAGGCGCGGGGGGAGGGGGTGGCTCTGCCTCTCAGCAGGCCACTGCTCCTCTTCTGCCGGTGGGTCGCAGGCCCGCCTACCTTGCAGGAGTGATTGGAAGCTCTGCCCCTCCGCGGGCCACTGGGCCTTTTCTGTAGGTGGTCACAGTTCCGCCTACCTGGCAGGCGCGGGGGGTGGGGGGCGGCTCTGTCTCTCAGCAGGCTGCTGCTCCTCTTCTCTTGATTACATCTCTTAAAATAATACCAATTGTTCATTTGAATCACTTAATAGAATGAATACCATTGATCCAATGTTCAGCCCATCTGATATTTCTTTTTATTTAATTTTTTTTTGGTTGTAAATGGACACAATCCTCTATTTTATTTATTCATTTTTATGTCACGCTGAGGATTGAACTTAATGCCTCACACATTCGAGGCAAGCGCTCTCCCACTGAGTTACAACCCCAGCCCCCATCTGATATTTCTAGTGTCACTGGCCATGTGAGTCCTTTAGCTTATATGGGATAAAAATCCAACACAACAAAGAGAGGGTAAGTAAGAATTATTTATTTTATTGATTCACACAGCAAGGTGTGCCAGGTTTCTGTTCTCATGACTAAAAGGCTCAGGGGTCACTAAAATGTTTCTCAGTCCCTCTCTAGTCCCCTCTATCTGTTAACCACACTAAGTTATTACTAAGAGGGACAGCTAATGCAGTATTGATCTCAGTCTGTGGCTGGATACTAGAGATAAAGGGAGAGGGTCAGACAAGCGTTACCTGCACAGAACATTCCATCTGTTCTGGAAATCACAATGGCTTTGATCATATTGTCTATACAGCTCTCTGTAGTTTTATTCCATGGAGTGCAGCCAGACTAAAAGAAAAAAAATTATATGCAGCAAATGAGTTAGAATTAAATTTCTACCATCTCAGAGATTTTGCCTTTCCCGAATAATAAAAAATAAACTCATGAATAATGGATAAAAAATCATAGATAGTCCTCCCTAAAACTTTCACTCATTGGTTTAATAAACAATGTACATTTCTATTGTGAATTAAGCAGTGAGGTGATTTAATGAATCTCCTTTTAAAGCAATATTATTTTCTTGTATGTGTTTTAATTTGACCACTTAGATTCAACAGTAACTATTTCAAAAATATTATTCTTAATATTTTGTTAAGTTAAGGATAATATTAAAAATGTTAATCTTAATATAGCAAAGTACAATGAATTATCCGATAAATGTATATAACTATTATATAAGGTGCAATAAGATGAATGCTCTACTAAAGGTACAAAGAAAGTGATGCAGAAATTCAGAGGGGAACAAAATTACTTACAATTTGTCATATTGACAGAAATAGAGGGAAAATAAAGGAGAAATAGTAAAAATGGTGTTCATAATATTACAAGGAATTTAATATTATAACACTATAATACTATACTATATATAATTTGTATAATACTGTATGTAATGCTATAATACTATACTATAATAATATAATATTACATTCATCATAACAGTATAATACTAGTATAATGGTATAATAATAGCATACCAGTAATATAATGCTACAATAGTATAATACTATATTTAATACTTTTATTTATTTTTATATGGTGCTGAGAATCGAACCCAGTGCCTCACACATGCTAGGCGAGCACTCTACCACTGAGCCACAACCCCAGCTCCAGTATAATACTATTTATAATACACAATGAAAGCTACGTGTTATGTAAATATTTGTTAGACTGCATTGTGCAGGAAAAATGATAAGGAAAAAAAAAAGATTCTACATGCTTATTAGAGATCCAAACATTATGGACCCAACTACATTTTCTGTCCATAACTGGTTGAATGGTGGATATATAACCTAGTGACACAGAGGACCAGCTGCATTTCCTTCTGCATAGAGGATGGCCACAAAATGAGCCCAAATTAGGCCAATTAGTGCCACTGACAAGAGGCTAGCTTTTCCCATTTTGACCAACCTCACCTATTTTATTTAGGTTCTTATTAATTTTTTTTGATTTTTTAATTATTTTTTTTTAGTTGTCGATGGACCTTCAATTTTATTTATTTATATATGGTGCTGAGAAATGAATCCGGTGCCTCACACATGGTAGGCAAGTGCTCTACCACTCCAGCCCCTGTTCTTATTAATTTTGAAAAATTCAAAAGCGGAAAAAAAGAAAAGGAAAACCTTTATAACAGATAAAGCTTTACCAGATTCAGGTGACAGGGACCACAGCCTCCCAGCAGAGTAAAACGTCCAAGGAAGTATTTTCCCCCTTAACACTGCCAGATGTGGAGAATGGAGTGTGGAGGAAGATGACATTCATGAGGGCTAACCACAAGGCTTCCAGTTCTGGGACACAGTCCTTTGCTTTGGGACGGATGCCTTGGTGTTATGGTTTTGTTAATGAAAGTTTGTCAAATCAAGGTTTTGGCTTGTGATGGTCATTTTTCAAATGAAGAAATAAAAAAAAAAAAAGAAAATAGAATCGGCCAAACTACATAACAAGTAAGGCTAGGTTTGGTTTTAGGAAAATTTCATACCAGTTTTGCATTTGTTTTTGTCTTTGAAAAACATTAGGATTCTTACTATGTGGATTATAGTTAAAAAAAAAAAAAAGAAAGAAAAAGAAAGTCATGAAAGTCATTGTTCTGGAAAAGGCCTGGTCATCAGTCACATCCTACACTTGTAAAGAGAACTGACATTCAGGCAGGGGATATAGCATTTGCCCAGCATTCATGAGGCCCTGGGTTCAATTCCCAGCACTTTAGGGGGTTAAACAAGCAAACAAACAAACAAAAAAAACCCCAGTAAGAATCTCTCAGTGAGCCAGGAAGAGCTTCTTACATAAAATTAGAAATAGGGAACAAAAAAGGAAGGAAAGAAAGAAAAAATGAGGGTCTGTAAAAACAAATGTTAAACAATAAGAAACCTCCACACAGTTATGTGGTTAAGAACACCAGTGAGTCAGAAACCACATGGAATAGAGGAGATACTCGCCCTTGCATGATAATTATCTTTCTCCTAGTTACTTTTCACCTTCTAACCTAGACAATCAAACAAAAACCTCTTGTTTTCCATTAGCTATTTAGACACCAAATCTGGTCCTGAAAACAGATTCTGAACTGAGACGCCCACCAGGTGCGCATTTCCTCTGGGTAAAGGAGGAGACAAAATGAGCCAAGTTAGCACAATCAGGGCTGTTGAGGAGAGGACAGTGGCTTTTCCCATTCCATCTAACCCGTCCTGTTTGACTTAGGTTCTAGTTTATTTTAGTTAATTTTTAACAACTCAAAAAGGGCCCAGTCACGGTCCTTTTTTTTTTTCTCTCCCAACCAAAGGTCATCAAATATGTTGTGGCTTATGAACAAAGAAACAGAAGATAAAATGTTTGAAATTAAATTCAAAATGTTTGAAATTAGATTAGAAATTAGATTCTTCAGTCTGTGAATTGACATCTTTCATCAATTTGAGTAAGCTCTTGACCATTCATTCTTCAAATATTGTGCTTTCCATATCCACATTATTTTCTTCTTCTGGATCTGTGATTAGACATGCATCCTGTGTTTTCATGTCATCACATATACATTGCTATTAATCACTGTTTGATAGTGTGAATTCCTGTGTCACTACTATTGCATTCTGGAAAATTTCTTTAGATATGGCTTCCAGTTGGGATCTAATTCAGGATGCTTTACCACTGAATTACATCTCCACCCCTTTTTATTTTTTATTTTGAGAGAGGGTCTTACTAAGTTGCTGAGGCTGGCCTCAAAATTGAGATCTTCCTGCCTCAGCCTCCCAAGTCACTGGGGTTACAGGCATGTGCCACCATGCCCAGCTAATCGTTATTTCTTTATACTCCTGTTTTCAAGTCCTTTTATTTCTTCCAACAGGATAGACATGCTCATTTTATATTGTGTATTCTAGTTTGGATCTTGAGTGTCACCCCTTAAAGACTCCTGTGTTGAAGGCTTGGTTCCTAGACACAGGCTTTCCTGGGGGTGGTGAAAACTTCAGGAGGTAGGACCTAGATGGAGAAGAAAGGTCACTGGGGGCACACCTTTGAAGGGTGCACTTTGTTCCTGGCCCTTTCTTCTCTTTGCTTCCTGGCTACCATGACATGAATAGCTCTCCTCCTCCACGTACTTCTACCATGATGGGCTGCCTCTTGGTGGGCTCAAAGCCACAGGGTCTTGTGGTCATGTAATCATGGATTGGAGCCTCTGAACTATGAACTCAATAACTCTTTCCTCCTTTATCTCAGGTATTTTGTCACAGTGATGGATACTGAGAGTTCCAGTATTTTAGGTTTTGCAGATTTAATTCTACTGGATTCTATAATGAGCTTTGCTTGTTTGCATGTTTTGTGATTTTTTTTTTTTACTGTGAGTTCCCATTTCTTGGAACATTATCCTTTGGGATTTTCTGCAGATGGAATTTGCTTTTTTTTTTTTTAGCAAGATGCCTGAAAGCACTATTGAAACAGGATTGTTTTCAACTGAACAAACAGTTCAACATATTTGCATTACCAAGGAAATACGGAAATACAAAGTTTGGTTGAAACTATTGAAGTGATAGGATAACTTTTTCTTTATGCATTACCATTTCCTCAGTTCATTGACATATTGAGAAATGTCAGAATCTTTTCCAGCATTTCTCAGTTATTTTCAGCAGGTTAGTCAGGTTGCCTACTATATTTCATGTTCAAAAATAAGTCTATTAAAAAAGTTCCGGGCTGGGATTGTGGCTCAGTGGTAGAGTGCTCGCCTAGCATGCATGAGGCCTTGGGTTCGAACCTCAGCACCACATAAATGTAAAATAAAGATATTGTGTCCACCTAAAAACTAAAAAATAAATATTAAAAAAAGTTCCTACTATTTTGAGTCTTTTATTAGGTTGCATGAGAGCTTTTTTGAACAACATGGAATATAGATATATGTGTCTATGAATTCAGCATAATAAGACAAAGTGAGTATTAATGCTCTGTTGAACCAGATGTTATCATGTGTCTACTTTTTGTTGAGTGGTAAGCACCACCACTGGGGACACTGTGGAAATTATCAGATAAACAGAGGCTTGTTATGGTTAACTTCAGGTAAATTGCAACTTCTGTAAAGTTATTTTGATTTGGCTAATGTAGATAGTCATTAGTTTACCTTTTTATACTGTCAAACCATTTTGGAATTACTTTGGTGGGGTTTGGGGGTAGGGTAGGTAGGAGGTGCTAAGGAGGAACCCAGGGCCATATGCATGCTGGGTAAGTACTCTACCATTGAGCAATATGCCCAGTGGTAGGATAACTTTTTCAAGTAACAATGAGATACGAGTTTACACCTGCTAGGATGGCAATAATCAAAAATACAGATAAAAACAAATGTTAGTGAGAAGGTGAAGAAATTGGAGGTATCAAATATTGTTGGTAGCTAATCTAAAATGGTAGAACCACTTGGAAAACTTTGGCAGTTACTTAAATTATTGAGCAATTCTATTCCTAGATAACCCAACAGAAATGAAAATATATGTCTACATAAAAACGTGCACATATATTCATAGCAGCATTATTGAGTGGAGCAAAAAAGTGGCAACACCCTGAATGTCTATCAATTGATGAATAGGTCTATGATATGTGATATGTATGTGTATATATGTAGGTATACATATGTGTTTGTATATATGTATCTGTTCACATTCACATGTATTTATGTGTACACACAGATTACTATTTCACAATACAAATTAATGGCCTGGAGTACAGAAACATACTAAAACCTTGAAAACACATTCAGTGAAGGAAGCCAGGCACAAACCCCTACATATTGTATCATTCCATTTACATGAAATGCTCATAATAGG